CCTTGAACTAAGGAATTGTTAAGGAATGTCTGCTGTATCAGGCCCCTATAAGGATCTAAGAGGAGGTATACAAAGCTATTGGTGATAGAATTAAACATATTTAGGAGAAGTTTCTGAGTAAGACATGATCAACTTACTTTCATCATTTTCTCCAGCTTCAGATGTCACAGTGATTGTGAAAGTTGTTGGCTTTTCTGACAATACTGTTCAAAGGAAAAAAGCAAGAGTCAGGGAGAGTCATTAAATCAATTACTGCTTCACAGCACTAAAACTGAACTTCTCAATGACTTATGAAGAAAGCAAGCTCTTGATACAGTGTTAAGGGCCTTTTTAACTTATTAATGTAATGCTTTTCAATTAACAGCTATATTTCATATGATGTGATGCCTCAAGTGCTCTTTGAATGAGACCATATACATCATCAAACAATACCAAAGGGTTTCACTTTTGGCAAATTTTCTCTTCTGGAAGTTTCACTGTTCCAGAAAGTGCAAATCAAATAAAACAGCTTCTGGTGCACTGACTGTATGCAGAAAGCTACCAAAGCTAATTTGCTTTACTGCACTAAATGCATCTGATGAGCATCCAGTGCACTCTTGACCCCAGACTATTTTTACAGTATGCCCGCACCTATATTTAAAACAGCCTAATGCAAGAAGTGCTACTAACCAAGCAGCGTACTAGAATGAAAGTGTGTGAATCAGCAGCTAGAAGACAGACAACACAACACAGCAAGAGCTGCGACCTGTGTTTCACAGGCTAAAAGCCTCCTTGTACAATTGTGGGTTGCAGATCACATCCTCATGTAAGGACTGCTCTGCACCATTGTAATAACCTATGCCCAAATTAGTGTACATGCTCTCGAAGTATCAACTGAATTTTGCCTAATTGCTGATGCACAACTACAGTCTTTATTCCCCTTTCTTCTCTTGGGCATAAAAGCATTATATGAGTGAACAATAACTGAGTACACAACAGAGTAGAGGCTGTATGAAAGAATATGACTATCAATATCAGATATCCAGCATACCCAGTTACAAGAGACCAATTCATATACCTTTAAGTAATCTTTAACATAACACCGAAGACCTGAAAATATTTTCAGATTGCAGCAACAGGCAACTGTACTGGGCAAATGTTTGTGTGGTGAAGTTACTGCCAAGTAAAATGCTGTGGAACTCTAGGCAGAGTAGACACTGTGCAGGAAGGAATCAGAAAATGCCCCCGATTTTTCCACTGTAAATATTCTTTGGATATGGAATGCCAAAAATCATGTTGGATTAGCCGACATGGTAGATACTCTTGATTGTCTGAAGGTAAATTGATAATCCTGAAAAACTGATGAACCAATGTACCCACAACATGAAAGTTTCAGCAATCTAACATGCTGCACCAGGGAATTAAAGTCTGCCTTTTTTTCACCTGTAATGGAGTAAGGCACTTAGTAGTGGCTATACATTTACGGAGGAAACAGCATCTTTAAGCACCTCAAAACACCCAGTGCCTCACGATCGAGACAAGTTTGTTACCGGAAAGGCAAACCGGTCGGCACACAAACCAACACCGCGATTCCCACCTAGGGCCGCATCTTTCGAAAGGCTTTTCCGAAGAGCATCCTTCCAGCACAGGGAACCGGGCTGGCTACTGTGCCACAGCGCTAAACGCGGCAGGGGCAGCGCCCACCGACCGGGCCACAGGGGCCATCAAGCGCTTCGCTTTTCCCGGCCGGGGAAAGCGAACCAACATCCCGAGCACCCTCCCAAGCCGCGCGGCTCGGAACCCCCGCGGGACCCGCGGCAGCCCCGCCGCGGCCTCCCGCTCCTCGCCCCCGCACGCCGGCTGCGAGCGCGGCCCCGCCGCGGCCCCGCACCCGTGAACGAGTCCGGGTAGATGGACTCCAGCGCCTCCAGCTCGTTGCGCTGCTCCTCGCTGTAGTCGGTCATCGTGGCCCGCCGCCCACGGCCATGGGCCGCCCGCACCGCGACGAGGCCGCACCCCCGCCCGCGCCTGCGTTGTCCCGACCCGTCCCGGCCCTTCCTAGCATGCCTCGCGCTCGCGATAGGCGGGGATGCCGCCTCTGGCTGGGCAGGGCCGGGCAGGGCCGCCGCAGGGAGCCACGGAGCAGCGAGCGAGGGAGGCCGGGCACGGGGAGCCCGTCCGGCTGATCCGCGGCCGCCTTCGCAATTGCGGTGCTCGCTGCTCAGTCAGTTCCAGCTCTCGCTGCCTGGCGCTCAGCTCCGGGGCCTGCAGGAGGGATCCTGCTGGCACGGCCGCGCTGCCTCCCCGCCCCTGCCGGGAGCGGCGGCCCTGGCGGAGCTGGGGTCCTCACGCCGTGTTACACAGACTAGTGATGCTACGGTTCGCTCGTGGATGTTTTCCTGTGAAAATTTACAGGGGTCAGCAAACTGAAGGGGATTCAAACCCGATGCTCTAGGTATTGCGTAAAGCAGCTGAATGCCATTTCTGCCAGAAATTGGAAGTTTATTTGATGCAGGTGGTGGTTTGCAGCTTGAAGTTAAACAGCAGCCGCAACCGTCCCGGGAAACGTTCACCGTGATTCCAGGAGTCCCATCACATCGGTGGCATCACCGTGATGTGTGTGCAGAATAGGAGTCGGCAGGGCTGACGGTATTGGGAACTGCTGTGCTTCGAGGTTTCCTGCCAGGATGAATTTAAGACTGTCGAGGGTTAAACAGCAGCAGACCCTGATGGGTACGTGGGACACAGAGCAGTTTTAAGGTGTATCACGTTCCTGGCCCCATGGCTGGCAGTTTTCCCACATACATGTTTTATAAGCCCAGGGTTTCCAGAAAATCTTTACTATGGACAGAAAGAGAATAATTTTCAAATTTTCAGTTTCAATTCAGACTGGAATTCAAAGTGGATTCTTGGGTAAGATGACTGATTTTAGCAGTCACAGTTTGTTCAACCGTACCAACTCATAGATTTGTCTGTAATCATGAATTAATTTGAAAGCTGTGCCTTAACTACCAATCCGTGACATATTTCAAAGACCCGAGGAGTAAAGGGAAATACACCAAATCACTTAAAATGCTACAGCTGTAGTACTCTAGATCAATATGTGCTAACAAAATGATAGTCTGTTAGTATTTTGGCAGGCTGACTTCACAGTGACAGATAGTATTTCCATTCAGTATTTTAAATTACATACTGAAAAATAATGGACAAATAGTATTATTTCATATATAAATAATGAAAAAAGACAGGGCAAATAGTAATCAGGACAAAATCAAAAATCATGAAGCCTTATTTAAAAATTAGCTGAGAAAGAAATAAAAATAATTTTACAGCTTACTCTTAACTGCAAATATTGCATCATTTTATAGTAGTACTGTAAAACAATAGAAGTGGAAAGAATTCACATGGACTAAGGACAGCAGGTTTTTATCATTAGGATCCAGACACCAGCACAGGGGTTTTCTATCAAAACCTTAAGATAGACAAATCAGTTGCATAGGTTCCGGATTACAGTGTTCCATCTTAAACAAAAAAAAAGACAAATATTTTAAAAGTTAAATCAGAAGTTGTGTTTACTACCAGACATACTTTGTTTCCTAAGGAGTTCACATAAACAGTGCAGTTCCATTACCTTTTTTTAGGTTTGCATGGCCAGATTTTGGTAGCAGGAGCACTACAGGGGTGCTCCTGTGAGAAGCTGCTAGAAGCTTTCTCTGTGTTCAACAGAGCTGATGCCAGCCAGCTCCAAGATGGACCCACCCATGGCCCAGGCTGAGCACCATCAGCAGCGCTGGCAGCACCTCTGGGATAACAGATTTAAGAAGGGAAAAAAAGACCCTGAGCAACAGAAACTGCAGCCAGAGAGAGGAGTGAGAGAAACAGCTCTGCAGACACCAAGCTCAGTGAGGAAGGAGGGGAAGCAGGCACTAGAGGCCCTGGAGCAGAGATTCTCCTGCAGCCTGTGGTATAGACCATGGTGAGGCAGCTGTGCCCCTGCAGCCCCTGGAGTAACTCACACCAGAGCAGGTGAGTGAGTACCTGTAGGAGGCTGTGATCCCACCAGGGGCCTATGCTGGAGAAGACTCTTGGCAAGACCTGTGGAGAGAGGAGCCCACACTGCAAAAGGCTTGCTGGCAGCATCTGTGACCCTGGAGGGGACCTCCCCTGGAACAGGTCGTTCCTGAAGGGCTGCACCCTGTGGAAAGGACCCACACTGGAGCAGTTTGTGAAGAACTGCAGCTCCTGTAAAGGACCAGCACTGGAGGAATCGGTGGAGGACTGTCTCCTGGGAGGAAGTACCCACGGTGGAGCAGGGGCGGAGTGTGAGGAGCCCTCCCTCCAGGGGGGAAGGAGCAGCAGAGACAGTATGAGATGAAGTGACTGCAACACCCATTCACTCTCACCCCCTGTACCACTGGAGGGGAGGAGGTATAAAATTTGTGAGTAGAATTGAGCTCAGGAAGAAGGAAGGTGGTGAGGGAAGGTACTTTAAGATTTAGGTTTAGTTCTCATTATCCCACTCTGATTTCATTGCTAATAAAATTAATTTCTCCAAGTGGAGTCTGTTTTGCCCTTGACAGTAATTGCTGAGTAATCTCTGCTTGTCCTTATCTTAACCCATGAGCCTTTCTCCCCTATCCAGATGAGGAGAGAAGTGACAGAGCAGTTCTGGCTCCTGCATTTTCTAGTAAAATGTACCAAATAATTAGATTTTTCCACTTCAAGTGCCTGGGATCATTTCTGAGTAGCAGATAGCATTCTATAGTGTAGTATATGGCTTTGGAGCCCAGATGTATGTGTACATGGCAAGGCAGTACATCAAGCATTAAAAAAATTATGGCATGCATTTCCCTCCCCCTTAGAATTAGAAACATCTATACAGGGGGTTAGAGAGGAGATGAGTAATATCACATCATACCAAACTGACTAAACACAAAAACATCATTAAGCCTTCTTTCACAAAATTCAGTAGTTTTTAATGATAGTAATATTCATGGGCCCAGTATACATATAAATTACAAGTTTACAGAGGCAAAGCAAACCCTACTGCTCAGGGTGAGATTTCTGTTCCCATCCTCATTTGCTATTTGTACAGTAGGCAAGCACACACACACACCTTGGAGATTTTGAAGTATTTCCAAATAGGAGACTGCCCTTGCTATTGCTTTCATCCGGAATATATTTCAACACAGTTTGCCATATATCAAGTGTTTGTTCATACAGCTGCTATGTGTTACACACATCCACCATGTTCCTCAGTGGGGATTTTATCAGAATTGGAAGTTCTCTCATCATATCTAAACTCAGACTTTTGATGGTAAAATTCCCCATATGGTTCCTACATGCTATTGTAGCCCCAGATTTAACTAGTAGTTAGCTCAGTGGAGATTACTTGTATTATGCAAAAAAATAGTGGAAGAGGAGAAATAAGTAATTTCTGCTAGGTGTCACTAAGGAAAAGCTGGATACCTGCTCTTGGTCTATACAGAATGGACCAAATTCATAGGATCCAATCAAGGTCACCTCAAAGATCCTTTTTATGGAAAGAAAAGAAAAATAAAACAGCATTTGTAAATAACTTTCTCAGCATGTACTTGTCCTTTCGGCAAAACTATTAGAAAGCAGAGCGCTGAAGCTTGAAATAGCCTAAACCCTAATCTAGACATTGATCACCACATCTCACAGGAGTCAAAATGCCATCAGTAAAGGCAGTCAGGAGTTTCTAAATCACTACATTACTACATTGATGCACTTGCTCACATAATTTATACATCAATGTAATACTGTATTGGGAAGTTCCAGCACAGTTCAAGTATGATATAGAGCTAGACAGGTTCCTGCTTTTCTGCAAAGTACTGTGCAGGCTTGGATCTTCAAAGCTGTGTTATGATCCCAGGGTCTTCATCAATCCTCAAATACTTTCCACTTGCACGCTCCTTGAGTGCCCAGTCATGGAGGAGGCTGTAATCATAGTGCTCCTCATCCACTCGCTTCAGAAAGGCCAGTCCAGAAATGGCCTGCCACTCCTTGAGAGATGGGATACGAATTTCCTTCACATTCTCACTTCCTGGGACAAAGCCAAAGAACTTCCTTACATTCTGCATGGCATAGAGCCTGGAGTGCTGCTCCGTTGCCTCATCAAAGAGCTCCTGCTCGTTGTGGACATAGCTGCTCCAGTATCTGAAATGCAGAAAGCTGAGCGGGGAGAAACAGCTTGCCAGGCAGTAAGAAAGGAACACAGTGATGACTACCACAGCAATCAGAAGCCAGCCAGCCACCTTACCACAAAAAAGAACAAAACAAAACAGAACTGTTAGAGCTGAAAATACAATAACTTTTGAGCACCAGAAAATCTGTAAGATTATCTTTACTTGCTTTTCCTAAATAACAGCATTAACAAGATATATTCCTGGAAAGCATCTGTTACCACCAAACCCAGTCCATGCCTACTGGAGGCAGCCATGTAGTAAAATCACTTGTTCATTTCAAGTTCAAGAAATTTCTGTTGTGCAGTTTTAAGAACATTGCTTTCTCAGCTATTATTGTTATAAGATAGGCCACCCAGGTCCTAGACTATACTAGCTTATAGCCTGTTTAAAAACAGTTTTCTCTGAAGTGACAACTTAATGCTTCCCCTATTATTTACCCAGCATGGAAACTTTTAGAATTGAATCTGATCTAAAACCCAAGATTTTACATGGGTTTATGTGAAGCTCTCATAGCCAGGGCCTCTTAGTCACATTTCTTCTGCTTTAATGAAGAAACTTCATACCCTCCCTGGCTCTTAAACTTCCATTTGTCTTACTTGATATTACTTTTCAGCATACTACAAAAAGAAGAATATATCCTTAGGCAGCAGGTAACAAATGGGACAAGCAGGCATTGTATGTAATGTATATACCTAAAGTTCAGTTCCATTTAAAAGAAAAGAATAGGCTTCAAAACACACAGAGATTTAGCACTCAAGACAGAGGACACTGATCTTGTTTTATCCTAAAGCTTTGCCTGCTGAATTAGCTTCACCTCATCATCAGGTTTACAGGTGACAGGAGTTACTCACTTGTGACTGGTATCGGAGGAGCAGAATCACTTCATCTCTTGCCCGGGTCAGCTCTGGAGGAACCAGATGACTGCAGGGAAATTCAGCCAGTATCCTACTGTGCTCACTAGCAGTGACATTGGGAGCAGCTTCATAGTAATACACAGGGACGTACTCGCTCACAGCACAGATATAATATGAGCCGTTTATCAGGGTGACTGCAAGCCACGTCACTGGAGCAACCAGCGCCCTCCCAGTGATGCTGCACAAGACAAAGCAGACCAGCTTGCATTTCAGCAACTGGTTTGATGAGGTCACCCTCTCAAAATGAGGCCTTTTGCCCATAACCAGCCTCCAAGTCTGGTTGTTCAGGGCGTAGCCAACAATCAGAAGGATCAGTGCAGGCACTCCTAGGAAAGCCAGCCCATAGATAAGGTTCTGTCCAACATGACAGGGACAGTTGAATGTGAAAAAAGAGAAAAGCTGTTGCCCACCAATTGTCAATATTGCAATTATTGCATTGGCAATAACAACCTCTTTGCCTTTTAGAAAAGTTAGCCACTTTGGAAGGAAAGTCATTTTAGATCCTACTCTTTACCAGATTCTTTTAAGTCAGCACTAGCTTTTAGTTATATTTAACTAGTGTTAATAGCAGACTAGAATAAACACCAACAGCTTGAGAACACCACCAAACAACAACAAAAAAATCCCTGCTAGTCTTTCTCCTCCCACTGATTTTTAGTGGCTTGTTTGCTAGCTTTAAGTATGTGTGCAGACATCCACTAATGTGTTTTAATTGATTCAGTAATTTATCTCAGCTGTTCTAAATTGAGCTTTTAGGCTGTTGTGAGCTCTGCCAGCCCCTTGCTAATTGTCTGAAATTAACAATAAATTCCCCCTACCTTTTGGATCACTGCAGTTCTATCAAACTGATGGCTAACCTGTCAGGGTTAGTTGCCAAGCTGCTTGCTAATCAACAGTAATTAACAGAAACATGGCATGAAACTAGGAAAAAAACAAAAAGGAGCCTTCCAGCTATTCTTCATAATCTTGGATAATAAAAGATTATCCAAGCAAATCCTTGGCAAATGGACTGGTTTAAAAAAAATGAATGCCTCCACTTTAAAATAAACTTATAAGATATTCCGTAAGTTGCACAATGTGGAATTGGAATCCCAGTGCTGTTTGCATTTGATGTCAGTTCTGCAGCAATTCATTGTCTGAACACTGGAGTCTGAGAAGTAGTTAGCTGCTGGATCATGAGGATTTTAGTATTTCACCTGTAGGTGGCAAGAAGCTGCCATGTCTCTTTTCCTGACAGTGCTGAATGTTTCCTTTGGAAAGTCGGTTGGGGTTTTTTGTTTGTGGTTTTTCTTCAGTGGGGGGGCTTGTTGTTTGTAGTTTTGGTTTTTTTTTATTTGGTTTGGTTTTTGTAATATGTATGTAATCTGGTATTCACTTCACAAAATGTCAAGCCAGCTGGTACTTACATAGAGTGCTTGTGATTACAAGTTTTAGGATTTTCTGCAAGTATAGTTAGTCCTATTCCATAGATAGACATAAAAAAATTTCAGTTAAGCATTTCCATAGCTGGCTTCTGGATATTAGGATATATGACCTGGGCTCTGAGCATGTCTTACAAATGAAGCCTTAAGCAGGGGTCTGAAAAAAATGGAAACATTTCACTCATTATAATTTTGTCTGGATCACACTTTTCCTATGGTCATGCTATGCAGTGGTTCTATGGATTGCATTACCTAGGCTGATCTGAATATGCAAATACTTATGTTTAAGTACTGGAAAGTCTGACAGTTTGTTATATAAACATCCTTACCAATAAAAGAAAAAAGAAAAAGTTAGCCAGAAAGTTTATGGGCAAATTTGCCTTCCCATTACAGATGTCTATCTTCAGCATGTGTGGACTTGGTTGTGTGATATAATAGTGTCTGCATAGCCTCTTCTCTCCCCTTGCAGAGAGGGTTGCTAATAACATATTTGATCTCGAGCAGTGGTTTTAGTACCCATGGTGTCTGCTTGGATGGCAGAGACACTCTCTTAGCTGTTGTACACAGGGATGGCAAGTCATACATGCCTTGATTGTTTGCTGGGCAGGACCCTGTTCCTCCAGTGTGCTGTTAGGATGGATGCCTGCTTGTCTCATCCCCAGTCACTGTCTGAGAAAGAGATCCTTGCTGGCAACTGGCTCTCAAACAATGACATGCTGTTACACAAAATTAAAAGCAGTACAGAAGCATGCTAAAGCATCCAGCAGCACTTTGTCACAGATTTTTTGGAACTTCTTCTTAGTTGTTTGGACAGAGTAATAGCACAATGAAATCTCTGAGCTGTCTGAATATTGCCATTTTAAACCTTCATTTTCTTTCAGTGTCACATGATCTCCAGTAACTTTTCTTGGTACAAGTGACATTATATTTGAAAAAAAATCAGTGAAATAAACTTTTCAGACTATTACAAAATTATTTAATAAAAGTCTTCCATTATGCCTCAGTTCATTTTAAAATCACTGATTGATTCCTTCTGAGATTTCTTTTGGAACCTGTGTCTTATTTTGTTTATAAGGGAGGAAGGCTCTCCCAAGCATCCCTTGTTTACTCAAGAAACACATTAGATGTGAAACTGAAGTGGTACCCAACACTGAAATATTAATAGTCAGCCTAAGGCTGTTGAATGAGGCAATTTATACAATCAATACAGCAACTTTGTACTTTTGCATTTTCATTCTTTGGCATTTGCTTTCATGCTCTGCCGTAAATGATCCTGCTGGGTCATCCTATTACGGAACAAATTACAGGGTTGGATCCAATTAAGAGCTTGGGTGGCACATCAAACCTTTAAGTACTTGCCTTTGCAGAGGAACCCAGGGTCCTGAGATAGACATTTAGGCTCTTCATCCAATTCCCAGGAAGGGTTAGAACTGGATACAATCCAAAATACCACTATCTGAGGTGACAGCAGGCTGGCCTGTGAGGCAAAAGGATGCTTATAGCCGACATCCAAGGCAAATAGGATCCATGAACAAACCTTAGTCATGGTTTTGCTTTTCATATTGCAGGACTCTGTCAACCTGAAGTCACTGCCAATAACCTCACTTATGAGAAAGAGAGATTTTTATATTGTTTTTAAGAAGTCAGAATCATTTGTCATTTCTTTCAAAACATGGTTACTGGAATACAGATTTCACCTTCCCATACACAGCAAACAGTTTTTGTTCTCCTTTTTATTGAAACAAAACTATCATGGCAGAATAGAGAGATTGGTTTCAGCTCCCTTCTCCACCTGATCTAGTAAAAACTCATTCACTCATCTCTTTCTTCCTAAGCTATTATTATTAGTAATGAGATGTGACTGTGTTGCCAAGAAGCTGTGTTCTCCAGCTTTCCTGCCATGGTTCCACCAGCTGAGTTTAGTTTTGCCACAAAGAGGATTTTTATATTTATTGGAACAAAAAAAGACCAGGATTTTGTTGTCTAATGGCCAGGGATGGGTAGGGAGTAAGAGGGAAGTGACCTTCTATTTTCCATCTGAAGTTTGGAGGAGGTGACTGAGTCCTGGTCTTTCTGGTCCTGTACACGTGTTTTCATCAGTTAGCAGTCGAAAAGCCAGTGTTCTGTGGCTCCTCTACCTGCATTTTGAGTTCTATTTTGCATGGAAGTTGAGCCCACCTGTGCCTTTTAGAAAGCATGGTATGAAAGTACCTGCATGACAGATTTCCTGTGGGAGTGGAGGGGTCCACTGCCCATGTCCTGTGATCTGCCAGGTCACAGTCTGGATGCAGGCTGCCAAGTCATTTTCATGGTCTCTTTGGCCTTTGGAGAAGTTCCTGTCCCCATGACCAGTACAAGCACTGAAAAAAAAAATGATAAGCTTTACGTTAAGGGAAGACTAGAAATCTGTTAATGATTTTTTAAAAACTTACATAATTTCACTTCAGAATTCAGCTGTGCTTTATAGGCAAATTTATGAGATTTTAGGTTCCTGCAGAGAGCAGAAAGGAGGCACTCAAATCTCAAAACACCCTCTTGAGAAACATAACCTAACCAAGGAAGTTTCAGCACGTCAAACTGAGAATGCTTCCTGGGCAGGGCACTACAGCAAAGTGACAGCAATAGCATTGCTTTATTTGGAAACATGGTCGGAGCAGCAGCCACACTGGACTTTTAGTGAAAGCACTCATGTGTGATATGAGAAACCTGTGTTCAACTTCTTTTCTTCACATAGCTTCAAACCCTTAACACCTACCTTCTTGATTTGAAAGATTTCTATTTTCTATTAGAGAATATTTAATACAAGATCTATCCATCTAGAAATTGCAAAGCAGATAAAAGCTTGACCCTGTATTTTACTAATTTGGACACTCACCTTTTGTGGTTAATGCATTCTTGTTTTGGCTCAAATAATTTGTTCCCTTTTTTTTTTTTTTTTAGGCTTTCTAATTAGACAATATCTAATTTATTATTTACTTCTCTGTTGCACTTATCATGTACTTACCTCTACAGTGTCAGCTTTCCCATAATAGCCAGTCCATGGCAAGAGACAGGGTGCTGGTGCACACTTTTATTTGTGCTTTTGATCTTTGAGATATATTTTGTATATATATTTTGTATATATAAAATATATCTTGGGATATATTTTGTGATTGGTTTTTTGTTTTTTAGTTTGATGGGAATGAAGAGGGCTGGTGTAGTCTAATGCTCAAGCACTGTGAAGACTGACCTTGTGGCAGAAGGCTAAATTTCTCTCCTGAATAACAGGACAGAAAGGGAGGTGGAGAGTGATTCTAACTTTCTCAGTATTCCAGTTGCCTTGGATTACTACTAAGAAGTATATGCTCAGGATTAAAATAGGTGCCAGATGTGTGCCTCCCTCTACTCTTTTCACAGGGCTACAAGACAGTGCACCAAGGACTTGTTTCCCTCACTGGAGCCATTGTTTATTTGGACTCACCATTTCAGCTTCGTTTTCACAAAAATGTGCAAACCTTTTGAAATGTAGTACTTTTGACTGAATACATAGCAATAGATGTGTGAATTTACTTGTGTACACATGGGCATGTATGCATTTTCCAAAGGATATTGACATGTCCCTGCCATACATTGCACTGTCTGGTGCACAGAGTTCCCTCGTGATTATGGTATTAATAATGCAGGCTGAAGTAATTCATCCATATATATTCTGAACCGGATAAATAAAATTGAGCTCATTTGTAAGTAGTCTTAAGTGCTTTGTGGTGGGTTCATTGAAGTTAAATTGTGCTAGTTATAATCTTTTACAGGTTGCTAAGGGTTTGTTTTTGTTTTTTTTTTTTAACGTAATGTAGTACACTTTCTTGTGGAATATGGGATTACTCTTGCAATGTGAATCATATTTTGTGCTTGTCACCAGTTGGAGACAGTCAGAGAAACAAACCCATCTCAGACTCAATTTAGAAATGAAAGTAACTATCTAGAGAATTGTAATGCCTGACTTTTAAAATTAGTTTAAATTTATATATGAGAAGTACCTACAATAGTTTCACTTTTAAAATGGAATCAGGTTTTCCAGGGTCAGAAGAGCACCTG